GCTTCAAGGTCTAGAGCCGAGCCATTTCTGGAGCCGATGCTTTATTAGTAGACCTAGAGCTGAGCCGTTAATCGGCTCGGCTTAGCCGTTCGGCTCACGGCTCGGCTCAAGCCGTTTGCATCACTAACTGTATGTATGGGCTTACAAAATTTATCTTTTATAAACGAACTACATTAATGTTTAGGAGGTGTGCGTTAATATTATTCTTTTCGCGTCAAGGTAGGGATTAGGTTATAGAGAAACTTTGTTGGTGTAAGAATTTCCTTTACGGCACTATCATAATATTTGAGTGCTGCTAAATTCGATTAAAACCTAGGAAGCGAATATCTAAGTCTCATCGTTATGGCTTATCACCTGAAAAAATTGATTTCACATTATTTAAGGCGTTCTCAAGCACCTACCTCAATGAATTCAATAAAAAATCTGATTGGCTAGTTTGATCAAAAAGACCAATCAAATTCGTTATTGAGTCCATTGAGGTAGTTGCTTGAGAACGCCCTTAGTCAGCAATGTAACGTGTTGGCATTAGGAAAACATACAATTTATTGTCAGTTGTCCATTACAGCCAAACCTCCCTAAGTGCATGTTAGGCTGGTCGCATTTAGAGAGAGCCAATCAGATCCGGCTTGAAAATTATAAACATTATCACATGTTAAACCTAATTGGCTACGTGCGTTTAGAGAGGTATTTACGCGCATTTATCACTAGTGATTTCTTACAGCCAAGACAAAAACATGCATTTAGGGAAGTTACATTTAGGAAGGTTGGACTGTATTATTATTTTTATTTTATGCCGTAATTTGGACCTATTGTATTATTATTGTTATACAGTTGATACTGTCTAATTGCATACTGTCTAATTGCATATACTCTCTAAATGCATAAAAAAGTTTGACTTTTAATTATTAACGCAAAAATGGTTCTTAAGACTTAAATGCATATATTGTCTATATGCATAAAAAAATCTCTGACGGATAGTCTGCAATTAGACAGTACCGACTATATTTAATATTTTTAAACCAAATTTTTTTTTCGCTTTTTTAGGGTTGAGTTAAGGTTTAGGGTTAGAATTGATAATTAAAGTGTATATGTGGCTTTTAGCAGGGCTTATAGTTTTAAGTCGCGACATTTTATCATATTATGCTAATAAACAAATCGTAAAAATAAATATCTACATATGGGGGCCCCCATAGCAAAAAGTGGCATTGGGCCAAAAAAATTATTTTTAAAAAAATGCAATTTCTTGAAGAATTAAAGTAATTAGCATATGATTTTTATAAAATTACAGAGTCAAAATTTTTGGCCCAATGCATCTTTTTGCTGTGGGGGTTCCAATATGACAAAATTTTTATTAAATTCCCTTAATTGTTAGTATGAATAATACGATTAGAAAGATACGCGCAATTGAAAGAACTTCATTAATAAATGAAAAAAAAACCAGTTTACTGTGCCCTAACGTGGCATCCAAACTATATTCCTTAAAACTTGCTGGGGTAATTGGTTGAAATTAAAATTCTTGAAGCAAGAATTTTTATTAGTTAAATCGCTACCAAAAAAGCTTACGGATTACCGAAGTATATTTTACAGTGTGCCTTGCAACATTACAAACGTTATTGCTAAAATTTCAAAATGAAAGTTTTGTAAAGAACTCTAGCCAAAATTTTTTCTAAAAGCATGAAATTGCAATTGATTAAAATTTAGAATTGTTTGTTTCGTGTGAACTAGTACCGGTAAGCTAAATATCGGTACATTTAAAATAGACAAATACTAACCTATTATTGTTTTACACAGTATCAATTCATTCTAATCACATGATCTGTAAATTTTTTGGGTAGCGATTCAACCCGGTTTACGTAAGTGTACGAATTTTGGCCAGAATTAAGAAATTTTGAAACATCATCTCATTGGATAATTTTTGTTGTTGTTGTTACACAGAAATTTCTCGTTTTTAAATACACGAATTTTTACTCAGAGATGTAAACAACAGTCTTTGTACTGTTCCGCTCTTCGGCTTCTGCTGACTGGCGTTTTTTTACTCCGAAGATATGCTGTTTGCTTTCACAAGTAAACAGCTGCCCGTCTTCGTCGAGTTACATTGTGTTCGCTTGGTCAGCGTTATCCAAATAGCCCGTCTTTTTCTCTCTCTTTTGACGGACCAATAAGAGGGATGAGGGAGGTGTGTTTTGTCTTCTTTAAACTTTCTTCTCTTTCTCACCTTCCAAATCAAAACCAAAAAAAAAAAAATTATTTGGAGAAGATAACTATCGTGTCTATGATGATAATTCTAATAATGCCTTTGAGGCACATATGTATAAAGTCTGAGACATGAATTCATAATTTTTAATGAGGTCGAAATAGAAAAGCAATTAACTTAGATCGTTGTTGATATTTAAGAAAGTCTGGTGAGTTTGTTTTTATTTCTCTTTTTTTCTTGCATTTCTTCTCTCACTTTTACTCATAATTCATCATCAATGTCATCGTTTTTCTGTGATTTTGAAAATCTTGAGAGCTCTCTTCTCCGAATAATAAGCAAAGCAATGATCAAACATGAATACCGTAAGTATTTTTTTTTTTATTTTTTTATGGTGGCATATTATTATTTCTATGCTCGAACAACGTGAAAACATTCATTAAGAAAATCACAAATTTATTAAAAATTTAATAGATGCACAACCAAACGAAATTGAACGTATTTTACGAAACCTGAGTACCTTTATATTCTAAGACTACGACCAATGGTTTCAGGGATGTAATACTGACATTTCGTACTCATTATTATTTTTATGATTATTATAATTAATATTATTTTTTTACTTTCATAGATAATACTAATAATCGAAATGCTTTTGTTATTTTCTGAGTCCAAAGAGATGAGTATTGCTCTCTGAGCGTGTGCTGTTTAACGTTGTGAAGGTGTATCATTGGTTTTCTTTTTTTAATAGGTCATACTAACAGTCGAAACGCGTTATTATTTTTTTGGTCCGAAGATGTGAGCATTATTCACTTAACACGAACTGTTTAACATTGTTAAACCCAATTACTGCAGCGCTTGTTTCGGGTACTGGAAGTCTAGATGGTGGTTAAGGGTCATGATATCGAACCATGCAATCTTCCTCCTTCCAGGAGGAGAGTATTCTGTATCTGGTGCTTGTTGCTGAACGTAAAATCATTAATCATAGCAGTAGTCATATCAATATAGAATTTTTTTTCCAATTCATTGTGTATGTAATTCGATATCATTATACCGATTGTTATATGTTAAATTTGCAATTTAAATTAATGTCGTCTTGATGTTAATGTGGATTGTGAAGCAACATATAATATAACATAGATACGAAAATAAATTGGGTATTTTAATTATAAAAAATTTTACTACTGTTAAAAATTTGTATACAAATTTAGTATAATAAAAAATTTTTTTATATATTTATGTATGTATACATATAGCTTTTTGATCATCGGCTAATAACAGAATATCATCTGTAATCCAAAATTTAAAATTAAAGCTTAAATCCAGAATGTATGGCAGCAATACCAAACGTTAAATCTTCCCATCCTTTACCAGTGACAGTAAACCCAGTATCTTTTATCATTTCAGTAAACTTATCTTGAGAAGGAAACCGTTGAATACTTTCTACCAAGTATTGATACGAATCTCGATCTGCTGCAATTACTTGTCCAAGTACCGGGATTATTTGAAACGAATATAAATTATAAATTCTAATTTTTTTTTTTAAAAAAAAAAAAAGAAAGATGTTCATTTATTAATTGAAAAGATGAAATGTATTTTGATTAATATGACTTACGAAGAAATAACAGAATTTTGAACTTTTCCAAACTCCAAACACATAAACCTTCCACCTGGTCTTAACACTCTATAGGCTTCGGATAATACACGATCTATGTGTGTACAATTACGTATACCAAATGCTATTGTGTAAACATCAAATGAATTTGACGGAATTGTGGAAATATTCTCTGCATTTCCTATTTCAAATTGGATCTGAGATGCTAATTAAAAAAAAAGTTTAAATAATGGTTCTATAGAATAATTTACGTTCAATATAAAATAAAATATAAATTACTTTGATTATAAGGAGTCTTTTTAAACCTTTCTCTGCCTACGTCCACCATTTCAGGATTAATATCTAGTAATGTAACTTGAGCACTCGTATCTCCATGAATTTCTTTGCAATAGTTGAGAAACCCCATCGCTATGTCACCTACATTCCTCATTAATTCAATATAATCATTTTTAGTTGTGGATCCCCTCATATAAGAATCAAAAGTCTCATTAATTCCATCAAGATACCAGTTCCTCCGGCAACATCCAATAACTTTGTTCCAGGTCCAGGTGCCATTGTACGAATAAAATAATCTTTCCATAATCTATGGATACCTAAACTCATCGCATCATTCATAACGTCATATTTTGAAGCTACATTTGTGAATACTTGACCAACTTTTTATAAAATACGAAATTATTAGTTGCTCATGCGTTTTTTATTTATCTTAATTTAATTATTATAATACCTAATTTTTCTTTCATGCTCTCAGGAACATATTTAAATCCAAAATTAGTTTCCGGTTCCTTTTTATCATCATTCTTTATTGCTTGTTGGTCTGATGTTCGTTGAGAAGTGGATGATGCAAATTCTCGAAAAATCTCTGAATATTTTAATCGCGATTTTGATGTTATTAATGGTCTTAAGAGACCGATGCCTATGGGAATCAGCATTAAAAAAATTAAATTGATAAACGTATCGATATTTAAATAAAATTGCATGTCGATATCGATATAAACATTTTCAAGATTATCATTTCCACATAAATTTTGTGTTACATCTATTTTCAATACGTCATTAAAAATTCTCACATTATTAATAACAAGAATTTCTTTTATGACAGCATTTATAACAATATACAACTTTCTCATATCTTAAAGCAGGAAAATTTTAGATGCAGATTTTTCATTTACTAGAGATACTGGATAATTTTTTTTTTTCGATTAAATATTCTAAATCTAAATTGATATATATCAATCTAAGGATTTAGAAAATTTTTCATACATATCAAGTTGTGACAAATTAACAGAAGGACTAAATTTTGAAAGTGCTTCTAAAAGATCTGTTTGATCGATATTGCACTGTAAATAAATAAGTAATTAATTATGCGTTATAAAATAGTGCATTACAATAATTCAACAATTAGTTTTCCTAACTACCTCAACGTCAGAATTTAATTGCTGTTCTCTAGCCCTGTATTTCTTAAACCTCAAAAAAGCAGCTCTTTGTACTAAAGCTTTTAAATCAGCTCCAGTAAAATTCTCGGTTTTTTCAGCAATTTCTTTAAGATTTATATTTTTAGAAAATTTCGTTTTAACATTTTGCATTTGTAGAATTGAAATTCTTTCGGAAAGTGATGGTGGTTTAATATAAATTAATCTATCAATGCGACCTAATTTATGTAATAGGTAAATGACGATTTCGAATATGTAATGACTCTATTGGATAGTCTGACATTAAGCTTACCAGGTCTTACTAAAGAGGGATCAATAGCTCTCGGATTATTTGTTGCAGCAAGCACAACAACTCCTTGATCTACTGAATCCAATGCATCCAATTCCAGCAAAAGTTGTGACATAATCTAAAACAAACATTCATGTATTAGTTTTAAAATAAATATTTACAAAATATTAATGTTATCAAAAATACCTTTTGCCCAAAACTACCACTAGACTCCTTACTTCCAAACATAGCCTCCAATTCGTCCAAGAATATTATACAAGGACTACATCGACGCGCCATTTTAAATATATTGGCTATTGCTTTTTCTGATTCTCCAACCTGAAATATCCAAATCAACATCAGGTATCTAGCCTAATACATAGAACACAGAGAAAACAATGCAAATTTCTGATTGCTTACCTCACCTTTGATTAAATCCGGTATTGAAACTGGAATGAAATTTGCTGATGATTCTGTGGCTACGGCTTTAGCTAATAAAGTTTTCCCCGTACCTGGTGGACCATAACTATAAATTTGTAATCATATTATTAAAAAAAAAAAAATTGGTTTATAAAAAGAATAATATTGTAAGACAAAATATATTATATAGGGTGAATCCTACAGTAGAACACCATTAGAAGGTTTTATTCCGAGATGGCGAAAGGAATCGATACGTTTATATATCCAAATTACTGATTCTTCTAACATGCTCTAAAAAAACAAGTCTCAAATAGATCGAGTTATATCCTTTTTAAAGGCTAAATATTTAAAATAATCCTACCTTCACTTCTTCTAACCCTCCAATATCAGACCATTTTACTGATTCAACTTTCTGAACACTATTCTTTTTTTGTAAACCACTAATTCGAATTTTTTGCAACCCATATAGAAAATCATCATTAGAGATTTTTAATTCACATGGTTCACCTAAATGTTTTACAAACATAAATTATAAAAACAAATACGCTAAAACTTTGATTCTTAAAAGAAAAAAAAAAATAACTAGACCAGTTTGTTGTATGCTTTTAGCATCGCTATGCTCAGTAGCCATTCTGCATAACGAAACAATATCAGCAGCAACAAATCCATGGCATTTATCATTAATATCTTTGATGTCAACATTTGAAGCAAGATCTAAATTCTTGGTACATGTTTCCAGTATTTCTAAGCGTTCCATGGGTATTAGAGTTCCAAATTCAATTTCATCCTAAAAAAATAGATCAATTAATTGCACAATATCCTATAATTATAAAAAAAAAACCAACTTACTTCAAATATTGATCGAGCAGCCGGATTTATAGAATCAATATTGATAGAAGTTCCAATCTATTTACGTATTATGACTTTAATGAAAGTAAAATACAAATTAAAATATTGAAAATAGCAAATCACTTACAACCGTAATGGCCACCTTTTCTTTAAAACAATTATCCAATAATTCACGAAAAAAATAAGAAAGTAATGGACTGTCACCACTTATGGGGAAAAATAATTCAATATTTTCTAACAATACTTTAATTTAGGCGAAATATACTGATAAGTAAAAAATTAAGGTGAAAATAACTCTACTATTTATTTTATCTACGATACTTACGCACGCTTGGTTGACTATTATAAGCGAGAACCAAATAACGACGTAGTCCTTTTTCGGGCTCTGCAGGGAATTCTGCAGCTAAATCACCAATAGTCAAACTAAACAACTATATGATGCTTATATTTATTTGTTTAAAGAAACTTGAGTAATAAAATGTCCAAACTACTGAGTTACCTTGATTTGATATTTAGAACATAACTCATAAATAACATGTGTTTTTCCTTGTTCCAATACAAATGAATGTCAAAAAATGACTACAAAAATTTGATGCATTTAATTGTAAAAGAGCTAATCAGAAAGAAACCTGTTCCAGAAGGCCCAAATAATAGTATCGATTTGGGAGGATCCACATTTACAAGCGAATAATCATCTCGATATTTAAAAAACCGCTCAATTCTGCTAATATTTTCAAACATGATCTATGCGATCTAATTTCGAACTTATAAAATGACTATATACTATTAAATTGCAAAATAGATGATATCATAGAATAATCTTACTCACGTGAAAATATTTGCACTTTTAAGGATAAGATGTAATGTTTCACACATGGTTTATCTTTTGCCGTACAAGAAAAATGGCTGCATTTCCAAATCTTCGTCGAATCTTTTCATCCTTTCGTACACCAGAAGAAGAACGCCAAATATCTCGATCAGCTTTCTTCAAATTTGTAGGATTCGTCATTTCTTGTATGGCCATCACTATGTTAGCTAACAAAAATAGAATGAAAACAATAACTCATCGTTAATTGAGGTTGTAAAGTCAAAGCTCTCTTTACAATCCTTCTAGAATTTCGGTAACTATAATATGAGTAATATTTATTTTTTTAATAGGAGAACTTGTGAAGAAAAGATATATCATGGCCTGATGCTACATACGAAAAAAAAGGATAAGAATAAAATTTACATGAAATTTATGCATAAACCGAAATTTTTGCTGAAACTTTATTCAAGCTGTTAAATTAATTGAATATTTCATTACGCCATCACTTCTAATTCATTTTGATAAATTATAAATTTTAATAATAAATTATTTTTTAGAAATAAGCAATTTATTAAAAAAAAAAATAATAATTAAAATTTAAAAAAAAATTTTTTTAAATTTTCTATTTCTATAGCATATAATGTAAAAATTTAAAACTAAATATATATATTTATTATTTTTTAAGTTAATTTTTTTATCATAATAAAAAAATAAAATAAAATATATACTTATATACATTATAAGCACGAAATAACGCTCTTTGGTGTTATTTGAAAATCGGGCCTGGGCATCTCGAATTAACGCGACAAATGGTATATTGGATTTAGAAAATCAACCTTATTTCGAAATAACCCACATAGACGTAATCGAAATAACGCGCGGGTTAATTAACGCTCAGGTGGGGATTATTCCGCGTTTGCACAGTATTTTATAAAAAGCAAACTATATAAAATTTTTATAAATTAAAATAAATTATATTAAGCTAAGCAAAAGTTAATTTTTTGGTTCTCATGACCCTTCTGGTTAGATTTTACTAAATTTATATGAAATAAAATTAAGATCCGGGTGCCAGATCTCTTTTTATGTTACAAGAGCCAAAAAATTAGCTTTATATGATCTTATTTGTAAAAAAAAAAATTATATAAACTATGTTATAAAAGAAACCAAGTTTTAGTATAAAATTTATTTGCAATATAACTCTTTTAATTTTAATCTTACCTAACCCTAATTTTAGTTTATTAAAAAAATCTCTTTTAGTATAGGTGTTATAAGATTATAATATAAAAAAACTCTAACCCTAACCCTAACTTATACTATAACTCTCACCCTAACTCTAACTATTTATAATTTGCTTAAATTAGTTCAAATAGCTATTTTTATATATTATAATCTTATAATATTCTATATGTGCTACTTATACTAAAGATTAACCAAATTTTTAATAGGTAGTAATAATTTTTTGTATTGATTTTTAGAAATTCTTTATAAAATAGTAAAATAGCTATTAATTATATAATATATATATACTGTATATATCTGATATTAATAAAACATCATTAGTTATATTTTTTTTAATTATTAATAAAAATTTTGCAACCAAATATTAATTATATAATTACTATGTTATATTAATTATTGAATATAGTCAGTACTGTCTAATTGCATACTATCCATCAGAGACTTTTTTATACATATAGACAATATATGCATTTAAGTCTTAAGAACCATTTTTGTGTTAATAATTAAAAGTCAAACTTTTTTATACATTTAGAGAGTATATGCAATTAGACAGTATGCAATTAGACAGTATCAACTGTATACTGTAATTTTGTATTTACACATATTTGTATTTAAATTATATATATAAAAAAAAAAGTATTTTATTAATAATATATCAATACTATAATAAAAATTACTACAGTGCGGGTGAGAGTTATAGTATAAGTTAGGGTTAGGGTTAGAGTTTTAGTATAAGTTAGGGTTAGGGTTAGAGTTTTT